ACTAATTAATCATTGGAAGAATTACAAATACTTCAGTCTTTTATCCAAGGTACATAATTNTGAGTCTCTCGAAGAATACCCTAATTCAGTTTGAAAGTAAACTCTTACGAATGAAAATGAACAATTTCTATATGAGAGTGTGGAAGATCGAAAGATGAAAGGTACTGAATTTGCTTAATGAGAAAGAATTACATGAAGAAATCGATCGCGTCAAGAAATCTTTCGATCAAGGGATTCCCAAAATAGGTGTTGAGATAGAAAGTAAATTGAAAAGTAATCATGATCAAATAATAGAAGACTGTAGTAATGAATGAATTATTGCATCATCAATGATATAATTTTGTTGAGTAATGAATTCTATGTTAACACCTAGCCATTAATTAACTACTATTCAATGTTAAAGAAAGTGTGTTGTGATTCTTGCTATATTCAGTAGGTGGACTTGGCTATAAATGGATGATTGTTTAGCACCAACGAAGTTGGTGAGGCTCTATAAAAGCCTGAAAGTTCTTGATTGAGGGAGTTGATAAGTTAGTCGATAATAGATGGTTATCAGTTGTTAGTAGTCGATTCTAAGTTGTGAGTTCCATTGGTCATTTTAATCAATAGCTTTTAGAATAAAGTTTTGGTTCTTAACGTGAGTATTCTATCGTCTAAGACTCGAATCTAAGTTTGGTAGATTAAAGAGTGCTTAGAGTTCGTTGCTCCGATAGTTAAGACTACATTAAAGGAAAGAATCCCGTTCAATTTTGTCCAGTAAGCTCGGTTGTGACATCATTGGTGGCAGCGATGGGATTCACCCAACACTATTAGCTAGTGCCGAAGTGAACGAAGAAGACAACTTTTTGTATTGAGTACGCGTACACACACACTAGGATAAAGTTATTTTACACTTAACTAGAAGAAACCTGCGAATACTGTCATAAACAATTTCAATCCATTGAAGCAAATTACCGTAGCTGCGGTGATTTAAGAAAAGAAATACATACTGTACTGTACTAGAGTTTATAGTAACATTAGTAACATCCCTTACGATACTAATTGCAACAGACTAAAATCACAGATGGTAATTACTGAACAAAACTATCGCTGGCATTACTGAGATCATGGTAGCATACCAGTAGAATCATTATTTTGATTCTGATTACATATAAAATTGAATGCATCAATTTTACCTTTCCTTTTACCTTGAGAGGTCGCTGCAGCTATTGCCTCTGAGCTTCCCTTTTCATCAATTTTATTAATTATATTTTCTTCCATTTTGCCCAATCGATTTTCCATCCGTTCAACTCGGCTATCCGTCCTTTCAGTTGTACCTTCTATCCGTTCAGTTCGGCATCAATCCTTTCAGTTGTACCTTCTATCCGTGTCAGTTCGGCTATCTATCCTTTCAGTTTTGCCGTCGATTCTATCAGTTCTGTCATCAATCCTTTCAGTTGTATCTTCTATCCGTTCAGTTCGGCCATCTATCCTTTCAGTTCTGTCGTCAATCCTTTCAGTTGTACCTTCTATCCGTTCAGTTCGGCTATCTATACTTTCTAAACGACATATCACTTTGTCATATTGTTCAGCAAAACGATCCAATAGTGAATTATTTTTTTCCGTAATGTCTTTTATCAACTGCGTTAATTTCTTTATGTCGTCAATGCTGTTATTAATATCGGAGACATTATTTAAAGTTTCTAAAATTTTTTCAATGTTAGCTTGGACTGGTTTCATAACATCGTCATTTAAACTTTGTACGTCTTCCTTTATTCTATCAAGCATCGTTACTATCAATGACTTTTCGTCTACTAAGACCTCGTTTAATATATTTTGAGCATAGTGTTTTAGATCTTCAACATTTTCAACTTTGCCCAATTGGGTCTGATATTTGAAGTTTTTTTCAATAGCAGATGAATCCAAAAGCTCGTAAGATTCTTTATTGATTGAGCCAGAGCCCTCAAGGAATGATTTTTGGCGGAAGCCATATTCACAAATGTCGCTTTTTTCCCCCTTCAATTTGTAGTACTTTACTGTGTTGTCCTCGACAGTCCTAATGCCAATATTTTTAAATAACTTGGAGGTTTTGATCTTTTTCTCTCCATTTTCTGCTAAAACTTTTAATTCACTTCCAGTACCTTTTGACCTACGATACGAATATTGCATATGTTCATTTTGTGTTCAGCAAATTCTTAATCCATTATAGAAATGTGAAGAGAACGACATTCTAGACCACTAAGTCCATTTTTATAGCGAATGCTACCCAACATGAAGCAAAGTACTCTACAAAACTACGTATATTAATGCAAGATGTTATATTCACAAATGTAGATTAAATTGCATAATCATAAGTTACAAGACAGCTGATAGCAGCTGATAGGTTATAAAAGCCTGCGCATGTTGATAATATAATAAATTACCCATCACCATTAAAAGACCGTGGATGGAAAATGCTTTACTCATATTTGCATGTAAGTATACAAGGGACCTTGCAGATATTCAATCAGCTATATTCCGGTTACATTTAGCGATTAATATATTTTAATTCTAAATAAAAAGTATTTCTAATTTTCATGAATTAGGTTACCAATCATTTCTTATAGGATTACCGAGGCAATTCAACTAATAAAAACGTATCTCGCAGTATTAGGCCCAGCTAATTTTAAAATCAATAGTGCTGAAACTTAGGGTAAATGGTTTAATTAATGATGCACCACTGTACGAGTTTATATCCGAACTTTATACCACTTGAAAATTAAGATATTCCATCAAAGCAATACCGTAAGTAAACTGATATATGCCCCTGAGTGATGGAAAAATTGTTATGTAAACCGGAAATTTGGACAAGAGGGTAAAAACAGATTATCCTTGCTTTAGTGCTATATCGTACACCTTTCAATTGGCATAAAGTTTGGAATATATGCAGACTCTAACAGATGTGCATCAGTGTTTAAGCTATTTCCAGTAAATATCAAAGTTGGCGGCAGTAATACTGGCTAAGTTTAATGATCCTTTACAATGCCATCATGGCAACTATGCTCTTGAACGATGTGTTAAGCGACGAGGGTTACATAAGGGTTAAGCAAGCACTCACAGCGGGACTACAGTACGCTTGACATAGTGACGATAAGAACTCCATTGCCTTTTTTTATAGTAACTAATGTGAATCAAAAACATTCCCTTACTAGATTACTCACTACTAAAATAATGTTAGAAAAGTTCATATTGAGAGTAATAAGCAAAGATAATCCAAGTCAAACATGTACGAAAATTTAAAATAGATATCGTGCAGAGTTTCTACGACATGAATTTAGAAATTCAAACCGCCTTGTTGCGTAAATAATTAGTGAAACACTTGGAAAGAAAATCTGTTCATACATACAGGCAGGAATCCCTGTTTTTCTTGCTAAAACCAGGGCAGGCAATACTTTTGATAGCAAACTTAGCTCGATCAACTGGCTTTGACTTTTCGTTCACGAAGGCTTCAATAATAGCATCAGTCATGTCATTAGCAAATTTTTTAATATAATGATAATCGATTTCATCGGAGATATAATGTATTTGTTGTTCAAACATGAACAAGATTTCCAAAGCCATCATTGAGATTGCCAATGTGGTATCGTCATTATCGGGTGCTATTTTGTCAATAAGTTCTTTCAATTTCTCTCTCTTGCATTTTTGGAGATACCATACAATACCTTCGCCCAACAACTGTATTATGCTGTTTACAATAGCAGAACATCTAAAAACGCTTGATACTACGCCTGTGACTGCCGTTGCTGTATCTGAAGCCGCGCTCCCCAAGAAATTGAATGCAACTTTCACACCTTTTCCTGTTTTGCCTAGTGGTGCACTCTCTTCGTTTTCTACAACTTTGGAGGCAATTTCCAGTTTTGCAATGAATTTGAGTATAAAGTGCTTCAGAAATTGTTTGAATTTCAAACCATCGCTATTGTTAGGATCATCCAATTCTTTTGGCCAATTGCTTATAGTTTGTTGGCTTGCCATTTCTATTGAGCAGGAATTGACACGCAGGTTCTCTTATGCACCCACTTCTATAGAAAGTCAATAATACAAATTTGAAGCAACATGCAAATGAAAGCTAAAAATGCAGTTAAACTGAAGATAATTAATTTGTTGAGTAAAACACTTATAAATGTAATAGTAACTTTTAACTAGATAGTTTGATATTAATAAGTCGATGAATTTTCGCTAGCTTGATAATTATATTGTTACATAGTACTTTGAAATGCAAGCCAAAAGAGTTAATGTCAATAGATCACAACATTAAGCGTCCAAGCATAATCTAACAAGTATAATTTCATAACGAATCATATGGGATATTTCTCTACTGCTTATTATCGATAAAACAATTTGAAAATCTTAGACTACTCACACTAATCCGCTTCATATTTTTGTTGTGGACTACACCCTGAACTCACGACTCGCTCGCTATTCTACTCAAATCAGCTGATTGAAGTTATACAGCTATATGTATCATCAGGGACTACTGGAAAACTTTTCAGTTATTCCTGTTAATTAATACTGTACTCAAAATGGATACAGAACAACCTATCATAGTGTAGAACTTGCTATATATATGTTATGTTTAAGACGATGAGTTTGCAATCTAATTTATTACGCTAACACATTAGCTCCAATTTTTGATGTCATCACGCTTCCGTCAAGCAAATTTTTGGCATAAAAATAAGCAGAATACTGTTCCGTCTAGGATAAATAATTTTCGACGATTTTAGATACGTAGTAAAGAAATCGTGATGTTTAAGATGATAAGTTTACAATCTAATCTGTCATAAATAAGATCGATTTGTGAGTAATTCTAAATTCGAAATCACTGCATTTGCTTCGTGTCAGACCCACACTACTAAAAATTAAGTGGAGTATGATATTTGAATTTTAGGATAGTGGGTAGAAGAATATAGATTAGGTTATTGCAGTTGGATCGTCTGCCAAAGTAACAAAATATGTATTTATAACTGGAAATAATCGCAGTCAACTCACCTCCCAAGTTCAAGCCTTATTCTCTAGAAGTAAATCTCTTAATAAACGATAAACCTATCTGCGAATTAAGAAAACACTAATTTGCAAAAATCTAGAGTATAATCGTGTTAACTATGTAGTCCTTTTTATTATCATACGCGTACACGTATCATTTATTATCCATCAATCTAATCTAAATGAAGCAATTTCCGGTTTGTGAAGTGAAACGCTTTAGCCATATGTTTACTCACATTTAGTACGTATATTTAACTCGTACAATGTAATTAACCATAAGCAGATTTATTTCTTCATTTATCCCCATTTATTTCCTAAAGAGATGATGTAAGTCAACGAGAATATAGGTACCTATCCATGTGCTTACAACTTTACGAAATGATACTAATCCTATTCGCTAAAACTGATGGACTATACTGTACAGTATAAACTCCTAATGATTCTTTATAAACCGTTAAAAGTAAATTGTCTGTAAGCTATTTAAGACCAAAGAAATAAAATATCAGCAAGAACAAGTAATTTTTATCTCTGTGTTTCAGATAGTGAGTTCGCAATCTAGTTTATTGACGCTAACACATTAGCTCCATTTTTGGATGTCTTTACGCTTGTTTTAAGTACACTTTTGGCATGAAAATAAGTAGAGCGCTATTCTATCTAGGATAGATGATTTACGATGATTGTAGATACGTAGTGAAGAAATAGTAGGCTTTAAAACAAAAATCTTGCGATACGTACGTTCAATTTTATAAATTTAATACTGTATCAAAATAAAATAAATCACAAGCTCAGGTTAAAATCTGGAACAGGGATTATCGAGTAATGTTAAGTTAAGAATGGAATTAAAGGCGTCAAGCTTATGATAAACACGTGGCATATAAAAATAAAATACATGGGAGGAAATATAGAGAATTTGAGATGAACACTTTTTAAATTAGTTTTGAACGATAATGTCTATCCGTACCAGTTCACTCCTGCTTGATTTATTGGGATAGACTGGATACAACGTTTAATGAGTATTTCACAGTTCTTGAATCTTGATGCTCAAGCTGACAGTTTAATGGAGCTGATGAAGAAAAAGTAATTAACGAATTTGTCTGTCAAAAAGGCGGAAAGAGTGAGATAGGAAGGGAAAGTAGAAAACGCATTTATTCGACTGTCATGCGATCACATTATTGACTTTGAGTTCATTAATAAATGAATAATGTAACAGCACCGCTTGCAAAGAAAGAAATAACAATAAACTGTTCTTAACTTCTTAATTGGATGTTGAATTTGAGCTATTATCATGCAAATGAAATTAGAATTCAGGAACGGTAGATTGACAATAGTTTTAGAGCTTACCAAAGTTTTAATAACATTAACATTTATTGGTACTGCTAAAGTCAAAGAAGTGATGATATATGGTTTCCAATGTATCTTGGTCCCTTCAAAGGTTTCAATAGAGGAACAGTATATAGTAGGTCATCATCATTAATTGTAATTCAGCTCGTTTAAGAACTTGTTATTCCAGTCAGTAAGCATATTTTATAGGTCAATTTGTATTATGACTTAGTTCGAACAGTGTACATAATAGTAATAATACGAGATTCAGTACTATCATTTAACTGATCGCAGGTAACATTTTGCAAGTCTAGATAAACTGCACTCGCCTACGACGGTAATAGAGCAGCTGTGTTGTCAATTCTGCCGAACCCTTCGTTGGCTATCTCATATTTCATAAGTCCATGGAGTACTTTCATATAGTTCCATTTTGATATAGGTATTCTTTGCGAAAGCATAGCTTGTACCGCATGAGCAGTTGTATACACATTCTCGAATTGATAAGTTGTTTTGGATTGCTTTAAGAGTAAAGCTTGGAAGCCTTTAGATATAGCACTATTACTACTGTTATCGGCACAATTTAGGGCTAAAATTGTCATTGCTGTTGTATCTAAATCAACCCAAGTTCCATCTGATGATTGCATTACTTGTAATTTATAGACTAGATTCGATTTATATTTGCTGTTTGTCAATCAAATATGGAGTACATCACTTCTACCCATATAAAGTTATTTTCCTGGGTAATATTGTATAGGAGTACCTGTTGATTCTTAACAGGCCAATCGATCGACCTAACACAGCGATTTGCTTGAACTATTATAATTCTTGATGTTTAAACTAGCAAGAAAACTGTGAAATGGAATACAAAAAATAATATTAAGGCGAGAATCTTTGTCTTAAAGGCAGATGAGTAGAAAAGAGTGAAAGGCGAAAAATAACTGTGTCTTCTCGTCTGTTATATCATCATTAATATACGGTACCTATTGACCTGGTACTGTTTGAATAATTAATTTATAGTTACCACGCTCATTA